GACATTTTCCAGTACTTTTTTGACATTTACTAGTCACATTTTTTTCGACATATGCTAGTGTAGGCTTAATATAAGTTAAATAGAACAAAGAAATGTGAGCAATTATTCTTGTTTATGATTTCTTTAGGTAGGCATGAATATTAATTTTTATTGCAAGTGTGTATTTGCCGGGTAAAGAACAGCTTGTTTAACAGTCGGGTAGCAACCAGTTTTTCTGTATAGTGTTTAAGTACCACAAATCAACAAATGGAAAATGAGCGAGGCATGTTTGACAGTGTTTTGGCTCCTTAAGCTCTTTTATCAACAGAAGCACCACATTGTGAGGTTACCCTCATCAGTATAGCATTTTACAAGTTAGAACAATAACTATGTTAATATACCTTTACGCAGAGTTCACACATGATTTCCATTATTACCGGCGAGTTGAACTTGCATCCTTCCAGCAGGTCTGAATCGCCTCATACACGGACATGGTGGTGATAAACAGGGTTGCAATAAGTACATCAAGAAAACTCCTGAAGCATAATCATAGCCATAATTTTTAAAGGGGTGAACCGGTAAGACAGCTGAAGGCCTCGGTCAGATGACCAAAAGCTCCAGCGGTGGGGTCATCATATGACACACCCGCGTCAGGAAACACTTGGTCCTGTTTCCTGATAAATCTTGCCTAATCTAACCTAACATAACCATACGCATAAAAGGTCAGACTTTTTAAAGTCTTCTCACCATACATAGAGATAATTGCTTATAGACCCCTCCCTAACTAATAATGCTGTCAACAGGGATGCCTAGGTTAGTTAAGATTTGTCAGGAAACAGGATAAGTGTTTCCTGACTCGGGTGTTAGGGAGATGACCAGCCATTGGGGCTTTTGGTCATCTGTCCGAGGCCTTCCGCTGGATTACCGTTTACCCCTTCAAAAATTATGGTCTTAATTATAACCATTTAGTATTACAGGGAGGCCTGGTTTGGAAGCCACATATATATATATATATATATATATATATATATATATATATATATATATATATATATATATATATATATATATATATATATATATATATATATAGGTAACCCACAGATAAAAGAGCACATTTTTTAAATCCATCCACTACTCATTTCTAACAAAAGTGTCAGGATTGGTTAATGAAAAACATCCTAGAAGCAAAACAGATTTATTTTCATATTTTAAAATTAGGATGACATTTTTCACCTCCAAATGTATCGCAGATGGCGTTTCCAAATGGGTAAATATTTATGCGCGTGAATAAGTCACCATGTGAGCTCCGACTGCCATCTGCGTATTAGCAGATAAGATACGCAGATTTGTATTCTACTGCGCAGGTGAGAGTTAAAAGCCCACATGACACAATTTGTTACATTCACAATATTGTGAAATCTTAGTTTGCGGGTAACTGATTTTCAATCAAGCAGGAGTTTTACAAAGATACCGGTCGAAAATCTTCCCTTAGTTGATTAAATTTATAGGCTAGAAAGTGCCCCATCCATGTCACCAGAGCCGAATGAAGCTTTACTAAGTAATGATTGTCGGGGTATGAATAAATCAGGTATGTGGACAAGACGCTCACTGGCCCTGCTTTCCTAACAAAGTATAGGTTGTTGAGGCATGAATAAGTACTGTATAACAGAAGGGTAGTTCTTGCCCGTGTTGATCTGTCAATAAACAGATACCTTGGCTAGTTAACATTTTTGAGTCGCATACGGGGACGGAGATTCTTCCTAGCTAGAGTCAGACATTCAAATGAACTATTAAATTTGACTATTTTGGATAGATATGCTTTACACAGTATTGACTGTACTGGCTTTTAATAGTACATGTACATTTTAAGCCTTTATATTATGTGCCATATAATAAAGAGTTACGTATATTTGAATAAGGTACCCTGTTTGTACAGTATTGATAGTACTATTGTAATTTTAATGTACATATACATTTTAAGCTTGTATTTAATTGTGCCATATAATAGGAGTTTGCGTATTTGGGTAAGGTCACTTTTTTTTTGTTTTTACCCCTGATTACGTCAGGTTCACCATCCACCGCCTGGGGTCTATCTAATAGTCGGCCTGGTGAGGTGTTACTCTATATTAGATGTTAGTGTCTATTCGGTCAACGAGGATATCCTATATAATTTAACATAGATTCAGGGGGCGGTTAAATCAGCAGCCTATATTGGTGCACTCGAACTGAATGCTCCTCAAGCCGTCTGCTCGCTGCTTGCATGATGCACATTGTGCGTATCCTGGCTCCATGCCATTGATGTGTGTGGTATATACCTGTTTTTTTGATACTCGTGTTTGTTTGGATCGTGCTCCAGCTCTTGGACCCTGCCTCTTACGCGTTAATAAACCGGTGTGATGTGTACCAGCTACATGTGATGTGTCATATAACAAAAGCAGAGATGTCCATTGTACTATTTCACTCGAATACTCTCTTGCTATATATTAACAGCCCCACTTAAGGCAAGCAAAATTACCTATATGAGATTGCACAGAAGTTTTCACTGCCCATATCATGTCAGTCAGACAAGGCATTAAAACAATTAAAATCCCTTAAACTGAAAACCGTGTAGGTGAGAAAAATTTGCAGGTATTTACACTTGAAAAATACCGGAAAGATTGATTCCATATCTGCACACCGAAATAATCCTATACAAGAGCAAAGAGCACGATAAATTGTGCAGAATGACCCAGTGAAAATGCAGATGTGCAACAAATACACTAGAAATAACACAACATAAAAATGGGTCTTAAGAATTTTCTCCTCCATGTTTTGTAAAGTTTGTTGCCCAGCGCTCATCGTTAACCTTGAAAGAGATATATGTACTGGACTCTCCTGGGACAGTTTGTTTCCCTCATTACCTTTTTTTGAAATATTGGCACAACAATCGTGGTCCAAGACCTGAACTTATTACCAGAATATATTTATATATAAAACACTGCTAGGACAAAACTGGATCACTACCTCCTCAAAGTTCCAGATAGCCAGGCTGTGATGGCTAAGTGAGCCAGAGGGTCGCCAACAGTAACAGCCTACCTGAACAGGTAACCAAGAGCAAAGACTGGCCATAGGCTCATCTTCCAGGGTAAAAAAAAAAATGCCCAAAATCCACACAGGTATATCACGGGTATATTCTATATATGTACTGTATATGCCAGTTATCCTTCATTAAATAAAGCCTTGATAATAATCAAAATAGCTTATTTTCTTTTAAAACAGAAGTATATATTTTATCTGGCTCCATTTCTTTATTTTTTATCAGTTCCCAATAGTGCTTACTGTATAGTAATTGAAATTTCAGGGATATCATGATTTTTGTTATGTCCAGTTCATTCAGTATATTCTCTGGACTTTGTAACTTTGTCGTTTAGAAGCATTCTAGTGTGGATTGTTCTTGTTATATCGTTTTCAAATTAATTAATATTAGGTCTAGTTTTGCAGGCTCATCCCTACCTCTTTATTCTTGTACCTTATACCTAAAGGACACCTGTCGGATATTTTTGGGGTCAATGCTTCAGTGGCCTAGTCTCAGACCAGGCTACAGTGGCCTGGTGGACCAAGGCCTGGTCATCCAGGCTGTTACTGCTGGCTGCATGCAGTTCAGCATATGAGCCCTAGCCTGGCTGATCAGGCACCGACTTGAAGAACTTATCAAGTTTCCTCTTGAAAACAGCAAGGGGTCTCTTGATAATCCCACTTATGTATAATGGGATGCTGTTGAAAAGTCTTGGACCTCTTACCCTTATTGTGTTTTATTTAGTATACTCATGGCACCCTTGCTCTTCGTTGGAAGAATTTTGCATTGTCTGCCAAGACTTGCTTTCAGGAACGATTTGTGTGTATATTTATGACAAATTTCCGGAGGCTTTTCCAAGTTTAAATAATGTATCTCACCTGCATTTTCCTTGTGTGTAGGCTCCAAGGTTTCCATTGCTGCCTTCTTAACTATATTTTTTTTTTTTTAGTTTCTAGTCCCAATACAAGCTCCACTTTTTCAGTTATTGCCTGTGATTAGAATTCCCTATTACAAGAACACAAGAAAGAAGAATACTGCAGCAGGCCTCCTGATCTGTGATGCTATTGGATGGAGGGTTGCACAGTATATCGCTCCTGTTATTATCTTGAACCTTCCTGTTATTAATTCTCTTGCTATGTAATCTTGCTATATGCCATCCAACCGGGAAAAGTGCATTTGTTATTAATTTGTGTGTGTACTTATAAAATTCACATGAAAGGAATGATGCGTTGGTAAGGTATGTTGTACTGGAACATATATGTGTGTCTGTATGTTTGCTGGCAAAAGATCTGCATGCAAGTACTGTAACAGTACCTGCATGCAGATCAATGTACTACTGTTATTCTTGTATTTTGAAAGCAACATGCATATAATGCTGTACAGTATATACAGATTTGTACAGTGTGTATGTGTATTCATTTATACACAGTTACAGGGGGGTTGAATCTCAGCTCCTGGTTCTGCCTCTTCACTGGTTTCTACTAGGTTCACTCTCTCCTGGCTTCAAGAGCCTTATCATACCTCTCTTAAAGCCATGTGTATGTGTGTGTGTATGTATGTATGTATGTTTCTATTCACTTATATGTATCTGCAGTAATCGAGTCTTAGCTCCTGGCCCCACCTTTTAATTTGCCATTTGCTAGATTTCACTCTCCTGTGTCTCCCATCTGGCCTCATCAGCCAGGCTGTTTCGTGCCTGCAACTCATAGCTGGCTGACGGATTACTTATTGAGAAAGTTTAGCAAGTTCCATCCTAAAAACACTTAGAGGTACATGTATATTGACAACCCCTGTTACATATATATGAAGGGTGGGTATTAAATAGTTTAGATTTTTTCTTTTGTATTAAGTAGAATTATCTTCTTAACATCTTAATAAACCAATACTTTTTATCAGAATTACTTTCTTAAGTAGTATTTAGTAATCATTTATGTAATAGTAATAAAAAATTAATTGCTTTCAGTTTTGTGCAATTGTGACAACGGTGCTGAGTGTTGGTGCTGTAGTGGGGCATTTAGTGCCAGGGGCAGTTCTAGTGTATATATTGCTCATGATAGTTATGACTGCCCCAGGGATCATCATTCATGTTCTTCCTGATTCCTTTTATGAACGCATCAACAGAATTCGTGCTGCTCTTCGAGGAGATGATTCTGGCATGGGTGAGTACATTATGATGATGCTATACTGAATATATATCATAGATATATTTCTACCATAATAGATTTTTTATAAGTGTTGTGATTACTTTTTTTATATGATTTGTATTGAACTTGGGCTGTTAGCATTTTGTTTCTTAGTGATGGATACTCTTTGTTAGAAAGGCATTGCCGAGTTTGTACAGTATTTTTAATCTAAAAGTGACATAATTTAAAAGAGTAGGCTAGTGTTATGCCCAATGTTTGGAGTTTTGCACTGATGCTTTTTATTAGATTTTGTCCTCTTTATTTGTTAGGAAGCATAAAACCCATTTTCTCATTATAATATTATCTTCTACTTTCATATGCTATATTATGTTTGAATTAATGGTCACATTTTCAAAGATATTTCACAGGGTTTATGGTCAGTGTACTGCACATTGTTTCAGTATTTTTTGGTGTATTCAGAAGTAGTTGCAGTAGTACGTCTGCTCTAAATACTTGTCCTGGATTGTGTACATATAAATTCATGTGTTTGTCAAGCTCTTATCACTCAAGAAATTTTGAGAAGATATATTAAGGCTATTGGTCTTTTTTTTTTTGGGGGGGGGGGGGGGAGTAATATACAGTATTGCCAACTTTATGAAGTAGACATATTTTAGTGATTTTAAGAGTATCAGGAATGTTATTGATAATCACACTAACTCTGGCCACCATAGGATATTAAGAATATTTCAGTAATTCAATAATGAGTTTAACAATATGGAATATAAAAAAAATGAGATCTTTGATAAAGCAGGACTTAGGATATTTCAGAGGGATTTTATGTATGGAAACCCAATTCTTTTTCTATTGAAACCCCATCAATCTCTTCTCTATAAGTACTGTAACTCAGGGATTTAAAGGCATATAGTTATAGTCTTTGCATTCACCATATTTAATTTTCACCTATTTTTTTTTATTCCTTTAGACGATTGACTTTTTTAGGTAATCCATGGTATCGTTGCCTAAAATTAACTATTTTTTATGTTGGAAAATATAGAGTTTTAACTACAGAGAATTATAGGTATGAATGAAAATGTTAACTAGTAATTTTATTTTGCAGAAACTTCAAATGTGTCTCTGGATAGTGACATCTCTGAATTTATGCCAGAACTGCAGTCTCTGGAAGCTCAAGCTGCTTTGGATGTGCCTCTTATGAGCCAAGATCCCCCGGAAGTGGAAGAAATTATAGAGGAAGCTCATCTGCGTAAAGAGGTGTCGCAAGATAGCACTTCTAGAAAGAGAGCACCAAAAGGCAGCAAAGGTGCAAGCGAAGGAACGGCAGTCAGTCCAGGATTTTCGCTCCCTCTTGCTGCAGGAGGTATGACCTTTTCTTATACAGTAGGTCTGTGACTTACGATGTCAGCTCTTGCCTGAAAATTGTTGGAGAGTGGATTGTTCAGAACTCGTAACCTATTTTTTCCCATACACCCATGTGATAATAAGAGATGCATTTTCAAATTTCATTTACTTTTCAGCAGTACTGGTCTTTATCATTTAATTATAGTATTAAACATTGCTTAATAAACAGGACAAAACTACAATACAATGCAATGCATATCTTTCTTTCAACACACCGGCCGTATCCCACCGAGGCAGGGTGGCTCAAAAGGAAAAACGAAAGTTTCTCCTTCTACATTTAGTAATATATACAGGAGAAGAGGTTACTAGCCCCTTGCTCCTGGCATTTTAGTCGCCTCTTACAACACGCATGGCTTACGGAGGAAGAATTCTGTTCCACTTCCCCGTGGAGATAAGAGGAAATAAACAAGAATAAGAAATAGAAAGAAAATAGAAGAAAACCCAGAGGGGTGTGTATATATGCTTGTACATGTATGTGTAGTGTGACCTAAGTGTAAGTAGAAGTAGCAAGACGTACCTGAAATCTTGCATGTTCATGAGACAGAAAAAAGGACACCAGCAATCCTACCATCATGTAAAACAATTACAGGCTTTCGTTTTACACTCACTTGGCAGGACGGTAGTACCTCCCTGGGCAGTTGCTGTCTACCAACCTACTACCTAGGAATGCAATATACAGTGGACCCCCGGTTAACGATATTTTTTCACTCCGTAAGTATGTTCAGGTGCCAGTACTGACCGAATTTATTCCCATAAGAAATATTGTGAAGTAGATTAGTCCATTTCAGACCCCCAAACATACACGTACAAACGCACTTACATAAATACACTTACATAATTGGTCGCATTCGGAGGTAATCGTTATGCGGGGGTCCACTGTATATGATACTTATTTGAAAGGGTAAGTAAGTTTACTTATTTAGGCACAAATAAACATAAGTACAGTGGACCCCTGCCTTACGATATTAATCCGTTCCTGAGAGCTCATCGTAAGCCGAAATTATCGTTAGCCAAATTAATTTTCCCCATAAGAAATAATGGAAATCAAATTAATCCGTTCCTGACACCCCAAGGTATGAAAAAAAAAAATTTTTACCACATGAAATATTAGTACACACAAACGGAAGAAGACATGCACAATTACTACTCTACTAAGAATAGAATACATGACACTTACCTTTATTGAAGATCTGGTGATGATTGATGGGATAGGAGGAGGGGAGTGTGTGGAAGTTATTGTTTAGAAGGGGAATCCCCTTCCATTAGGACTTGAGGTAGCAAGTCCTTTTCCGGGGTTACTTCCCTTCTTCTTTTAATGCCACTAGGACCAGCTTGAGAGCCGCTGGACCTCTGTCACACAACAAATCTGTCCATAGAGCTCTGTACCTCCCGTTCCTTTAAGACTTTCCTAAAATGGGCCATAACATTGTCACTGTACAGGTTGCCAACACGGCTTGCAGTAGCTATGTCTGGTGTTTTTCCCCTGAAAAGGGTTTTGCAGTTAAACCCACTTGCACACTTTCCCTTTAAACCCTTTTTTTTGCAATTCCATACAATTTCGCCCTTTTTCCCACTAGAACTTTTGGGGGTCCTGGTGACTTATTTTGCAGTTACAGGCGCTAAAAACACTGGGATAATGTGAAATGTACCGAATGTATGGGTAGATGCGACCGCACTGGCTGGCTTGTAAACACTGGCACTGAGGCCACACGTGGGACGCGTCCCAGACGAATCACGTAAGGCGAGCTTTTTATCGTGAGGCGAGACAAAATTTTTGCGTTCAGATGCTTCGTATGGCGGATTTAACCTAACGCGATGCGTTAGTAAGGCGAGGGTCCACTGTACAATTATCATACATAGTGTAAATTACCTAGGATACCCCAAAAAAAATCAGTGACTTATTCTCATTGAAGCAAGTAGCAGCTGGCTTCAGAGAGAAGGTGCAGGGGGTTAGGAGATGAGGGATATGATTGGGAGTTACTATATGTAGTATGGGAAGGTAGTGGTGAGGTTGTGTGAGGGAGAGTGTGACGAGCTCCTACTGTCCTACACAGTAGCAGCTGTCATTGTATACCTGTATTTGGAAAATTCTGAATTAGTGATTTTCCCAATTGAAATATGAACTTTTGCTCTTATTCAGAAAATTACAAATTTTTGATAGCATTATATTTTTTATTTAACCCTTTCATTGTCGGTGACGTATAGGTACGGCTTACAAGCCAGTGTATGTGATTTATTAATACCCAAAAATTCTAGTGGCTTCAGATCTAGCAGGAGAAAGTTGGTACACCTACATGTGAGAGAATGGGTCTGTGTGGTCAGTGTGCACAGTATAAAAAAAAAATCCTGCCGCATTCAGTGCATAATGAGAAAAAAAATACTCCGACTCTATTTTTGGATTAAAACGCCCACTTTGAGGTGCATTTTTGTATGGTATTTATGGTTGAGTAAACAAATGACGTCACCGTCCAATACATGTCCAACTGGCCAGTCTAATATGCAGTCACAAATAAGTTGACATTATTTATACAATTATATAATAATGCAGTAGCCTGCATAACAGTAAATCTTCTATTTTTTGTGTGAATAAAAATTTAAAATGGAAAGCAAGAGTAATTTAAGAGGGGCATGGAGACGTGACTAATGAACAGAGGAAATGTTATTTTAGTGCCAGGAATGTGTGCATTGTTTATTCTGGACCCTATTTTGAAATTTGCGTGAAATTGGCCAAATTGCCTATTTTTAACCACTTTATTGGGTAGTTGAAATCAATAAATGGGCAGTTTCTTGTATTCAGTAGATAGAACAAATGGAGTTCTAGCGAAATAGCTATGAGTTTGGTCAACTGGAACAATGGAATTGGCTGAAAATAGGGCTCAAAGTGGGCGAAATCACCAATGCGTATGCATCGCCGAGACCGCTAATTTCACGAGAGCATAATTCCATAAATTTTCCATAAAATTTTGCACTTTTGGTGTCATCACCATTGGGAAAAGATTCTCCATCATTTCATAAGAAAAAAAATATTTTTTATTTTTTTAAATTCTTCGACACAGTGTGTTCAGGATCAGGGGTCTCAACAGTGAAAAGGTTAACAAATTTAGGAGAGTTCCAAACAAAATATAATGTTGTTTAAGTTTTGGGGTAAAAATATTGTAAACTAATTAAAACTATGTATTTCTCCAATTTAGATTTTCTTTTCAGAGGAAAGCAGCACTACGTATTTCACGAGTGGACTTCCTGAGGATTTCCCATCCTATGATCATGATAGTGTTGAAGATCTGGATGGGCCTGATATAGACCTGCCTGAGCTACCTCATCCAGTGCCTGAACCTAGTCAAGAAAGGCATGGAGCAGGAGACCGCTATCAAATGGAGTTTGTCTCCTCTCATTTTGGGGATAGTAGTGATGAAGATGATGATTTTATTGAGGGTCTTGTGTTTGAAGAACGAAGTCAAGTAAGACCTGAGCATCGACCCCCACAAAGTTTTCAACGTAGCGAAGCTGAACCTGCACCTACAATGGACCCTATAGGTCAGCTTATGAGTAGTGTAATAGCTCAAAATGCAGGAAATGTTTTATCTGCTTTAGGGCAAAATTTAGTTTCCTCTGTGATAGGGCAATCTGTATCCAGTGCTCAGCCAACTCCCATGGTCAGCCAACGGCAGCCCAGACGACAACATGAGCCGCCTGCTAGAATGACACGGTCACTTGATCCGAACCAGCAGTCTACTACAGATTTGGAAGAAGATTTTGAGCTTATTTCAGATGATGAATGTCAGTGACTGAATACTACTAATGAGAGGCGCCAACAACTGCGATAAAAATATTCATAGTGTATGAAATCCCATATTTGAATCTAATATTCTTTGTATAATTTTTGGAAAGCAAAGAAATTTTGCATTAAAAGAACCATGATTTGTTATCTTCATTCATCTCAGTATTTGCACAGTGCAGTAATAAATTTCCTGGTATATCAAAGTTAAGGCTGCCTTAATACGTTTCTCAATAAATTGCCTTTTGCAATGTCCGTTAAAACTTTGAGAGGTTTGGTAGTGGTGCAGTAATGAAGAAACTGTAGTAGTATCCTGTGGGTATCATCTTGTAGAATAGATTGTGGTTTAACTCAATAAAAGTGTAGTAAAGATAAGGTGTTCATAAGTAATATTGTAAAGTCTTAGGGAAAACAAACTTGAATACTTGTTCAGTGCCCACTTTATATACATTACAGTAGTATATATCTTATGCCATTTAGATCTCATTTGGGAAATTTAGGTTTCTGTTCTTTAATGAATTATCCCTCTGTATTTTGACAAGTTTAGTTTTTACATTCTGTTCAAAATATAATAACTTACAATATATAAAAAAAAATGTTAGATTTAATTTTTTGTGCAGAAATGATTGGCATTAAGATAATGTGTGACTTTGTGCCCATATGCATTTTTTTTTTATTTAAGAGTGGTCATCACTTACTGTACCAAAATGTTTTAATAGGTTTATCACCAATTGGAAATTACTTTTAATATAAGGGTTATATGATTAGAGAGAAGGTAAATCCTGCATGGATAGGAAATAGGAGTGAAAGAGTCTGCATGTTTTGGCTTCATTCAGAGACCTTCTCCAGCAGATGCTTTGCTGAACTTTCCACTCTCTCTTATTTTCTGTCTATGAACACTCTTCATTTAAGAGCTGGCTGGTGTTGAGACCTTGGCTTTCTTGGTTTATTTAATGAATTGCTGCTGACTATTTTTTTTTGTTTTTACTTTTAGTTAAGCAGAATAGTTAACACTATTTTACCAGATTTTCAGCATAATTTTCTTGAACTCTGGCATTTTTCAGCTGAAAGCAACCTAATACCAAGTGCTGCTATCTTGTCACCTTAAACTGGTAAATGTATTCAATAAAGATAGCAAATAGTGGTATTTTCCCATTTTTGGATTTTTTTTTTTTAAAACTAGTCTCGTAATTTCATCTGGATTAAGAGGTGCCACAGCATCTGTTGCTGGAAAATCAGTGTTTTACCTGGATGGGAAACTTGCTCTATTAGAAACTTTAAAAATTAAAATTATGGCAAATCTAGTATAAAGACTGGACATTACAAGCATAAACTACTATAACTACAAGTAGGTAAATACTTACTGAAGATTAGATACAAGTATTTATAAATTGGTGGTTTTTTCCTTCCTACTCCATGTAGTGGTACACACTCAAAAATGCTTTGTATCCATAGTCTGATTGGCAAGCAATGGTTTACTATTTGACTATTATGAGAGCAGTTCATGGGAATTATTAATTTAGCTGGAATTAGTTGTTAATTTTTAATTAAGCATAAGTAAAATTTTTAGGTGGTGTAGTAGAAGTTGCACAGTACTGTGCATTAATAATTTGTTCTCGGTACAGTATTTTGTAAAAAAAAAATTACCAGATAATTTTAATGTTAAAAATAAATATTTGATAGATATGTACAACATAAAATAATTATCCCTTGTTACTTGCAGGGAATGAATTTGCAGTTAGTTAATATCAAAATCACAAATAATATTGCATTGACTTGTTTTGTACAAAGGATTTTTTCATATACAATTGACCTAACCATCCCTGATTTTGTCTTGTTGACAAGGCAGGTTACAGGGAAGCCTGACCTAGTGCTGGGCTAGGAGGGTACAAGAGCCCTCAAAACCAGCTAGGAAGCATATACCAGGTACATTCAATGACTCATAAGTAGATATGACAGGGGTAAGTCATGTCAGTTGGTTGAAAGTTAAGAGGCAGGACCAAGAGTTAAGAGCTCACCCCCCTGTAAACTCGAATAGATAGTACATGCCAAATGCTGGTGGCTCTGCATGGGCTTTATACATACATGTATCCTACTGATAGAAAAACAAGGTCAGTGAATTAAAATTACTGTGTAATGAATTTGTTCATTGTGAATTGGTTAATGAACTAGATAGTGTATGTTTAATTTACCAGTATCTGCTGTATGTTGCAGTTAAATTATGTTACTTTGCATCATTCTGTGATATGTAGTCAATAACTTATGAAAAGTTGAAATTTCAACATTGTACTTGCTGGATGGCAAAAATACTGAATAGGTTAGTCTGTTGAGAGATTAAAAGCATGCATATTGGTTTGGAAGGCTTCAGAACCAATTTTGCACCTTATTTAAATAAGTTGTTTGCTAGTGTAACCAAATTTTTTTTTGCCCATGTAGGTAGTTAATTGAGACTTTCTTTGTATTTTTTTTAATTTGTATTGTACATACATTTCAAAACTACAAGGATTATTAGGTATGTAAGTGAAATTGACGAGTGATGTGCCATTACTTCTGAGTATGTCTATATACATATTGTGTATACAATACATATAAGGTTGTAAAAGAAGAGACTGCTAGGGTGTTGGGAAGAGGTGTAGGATTAACAGATAATGAATCAGATTCAAAGTGGGAGTTGGCACAATTGCTCTTTGCTGATGACTGTTCTTTTGGGAGATACTGAAGAAAAGTTGCAAATGGCAGAATTTAGGCCTCCAGACAGGTTGCAAAGCTGCAAGGAAACACCACAAAAGCTCGAACTATTGTTTCAAGAGGGCTGCAAAACCATTTTTCTTTACCACATAGGTCATTTCTCACCAAGGTAGGATGACCTAAAGGAAATACATTTGTCACAGTTTAAATAACTCCCTAAACCACATCACTTTTACATGAATCTAGGTAGGACATACAAAGACAGACACGCACTACAAGAGCAGGATCCAGAAGAAGAGGACAAGTCTCAAATTCAGTAAGGTAATTATACACACACTATTATAAACATCTTTTAAGATGACAGAATTGGTGGTCAACAAGGATTTTTGTTTCTTTTACATGTATGTTGTAGATGTAAGTACAGTAATAGATAAAATGACCGAATTGATTATGGTATTTAATCACAAAACCGTAATATTTAGGTACTTTCAATACTTTTATGAAATTGATTTAGAAATTGAAGTATTTATCTAAGCTGGGATTTTTTCCCACTCTACTTCTTGGCAACATTGTGAAGGCTCAAAAGACCACACGTATACCAATACAGATACTCTCAAAACAACTTTGCTTCAACTGATAGTTGAGGTGCAGCTTTTTTCTATGTATAACATATGGTAAGCAGCATACCATAGAAAGATAAACAGGCTTTCATTTGTTCTAAATATTTATTAAGGGTAGGTTGCACTTGTATATTAATTTATTTGCAAAGCCCTAAGATGAGAGAATTCATTGATATAACTGTGTTTCTATGTTTAATTATTATTTATGTACAAGGATATATGTATTTTGTAATTTTTAGGGGAGGGGGAAAGGTTCAGCTAATGAATTTTCACGTGGCACCAGTTGTAGCATTTTGAATGAGAGTAAATTTTATCAATACATTTACCAGTAGCTTAAGTTTTCTTCCTGTCTTCCAAGTTTAGTTATTATTAATTACATAAATGTTATTATAGACTGCTTAAAATAAGAACAGTAGTGATATTGTAATTATCATGATTAGACAGGAGTTAAGTCAACCTGTCCATTTGTCAAAGTCAGTACACCTCTTCCCCTCCTATTACTTAGTATTATTCAGTTTAGACTGTATACTTTTACAGTTGAGGCTGTATATTGTGATATTTATTACGTTTTATATGGTATGTCGATAACATGGGTTTTGATAAAATTAAAATTATCATTATCCCTTGTAATAGGGTAGTGCTACCAAATCATATTTTAGTTATAATGCACCATGTATACACTAATAATGTATTACAGTATTGTGAAATAAATATTTTGCATCTTTTTCTTTCCTTGTGATCTATAAGAATTAAAATGTATGCCTAGGAGAGAAGCAAGGTGTTTGCCTGTATGAAGATTGTAAATATACTGATAGTTATGGAGTTAAATTAATGGATTGTAAAAAAGGGTAATTTACTAATTTCACGAGTATTATGTATTCCTCCCAGCATACATAAGGGGGAGTGCCAATAGACCCCTGGCTGTCTTCAAGAAGGCACCTCAAGTCAGTACCTGACCAGCCGGGCTGTGGTTTTTTACATCAGGTTGTGTGCGGCCAACAGTAAGAGCCTAGGTGATCAGGCCTTTATCCACCATGAGGCCTGGTCACAGACTGGGCTGTGGGGTATTGACCCCTGAAACCCTCTCCAGGTCCAGGTCTGGGAGGTAGTTGGGCTGGGTCCAAATATGGGAGGGTTGCTTTGGTTCAAAAGCTTCAACCTGTCTATGAAGTCATACAGCACTTTGTAATTAGATATCCAAATGATAGCTCATTTCCTGGATGAAGAGCCATTCTCCTGCATCACAGGAACTCCCATGAGGGGTAAGGATTTTTTTTATACCTCATATATTATTCAAATGTGCTCCATCTGGTTGAAACACTTTCTTTTAAAAGAAAACCCCTCAAGGAAGGTTCCTTGATGCTGGTGAGGGGCTCTTGAGATAGGGAACTGGATCTTTGCTCCAGTTCCCTGAATACCTTCCATCCCCCCCACAGGCACTGTATAATCCTACAGGTTTAGTGCTTCCCCCTTGATTATAATAATAATAATTTTAAAAGAAAAGAAAATGACCCTTGTAGTTTAAGTGCTTCTTTTTTACAATACTTTCAAAAGAAATTTAAAAGTAACTTTAAACCCTTAGTTTCAAATCAATTTATCTAAATTTTAATTATTATAAGCAAAAAGTGCTAAACCTACAAGGGTCATACAGTGCAGGCCTAAATATAGTTATCTGTATACCAAGTGTAACCTCTTATTACTTTCACAAAAATGTGCTGAGACAAAAGTCGAACAAACTTTTATTGTGACTACATTTCACCTTATATCTCAAGTCTTACATTATTGCTATATTTAGGGTAAAGTGTTATGCCTGTAGAGGTCATACAGTGCCTGAGGAAGTGGGACCAGGCACAATACAAGAAAAGGAAGGACAGGTCCAGTGCCTTGCATCAACCACCTCTTGCTGCCTTCAAGCAACTTTCCTTGAGGGGAACAAGTCATACTGAGGGTACTGGTAAGTTAGGTCCTAAGGTTGATGGGAGGAGCAATGCAGAGATGCCACTGGTCAGTGTTAAGTTGGGATGTACCCTTAAACACAGGTCAGTAACTGTTCATGTGATGTGACAGAAGCTTGAAGCCTGGCTAGGCTAATTATTATTATAATCAGAACTAAGCACTAAACCCACCAGGGTCATAACTGCACTGCAGAGTATTATTATTATTATAATCAAAAAAGAAGCGCTAAGCCACAAGGACTATACAGCTGCACTGCAGAGTAGGGCATGTGAAATGTACTTGATCTGAAACTTGGGTGGAGAGTATAACATTGGCTAAGCTAAAAGCTCTGTCTTTTTTTTCAGTAGACTGACAAAAGTGAAGACCTATTATTCACACAAATTCTTATTCTAAAGAATGTATTATAAGGCAATAGCATCAACATGGAAAACAATTGAACTTGGTATACTCTTTAAAACCATTCCTCGTTCAATATCTATGACTTCTTGGTCATCTACATAATTTTTACTGGTAGAGCTTTCAGAGCTCCTCAGTCAGAATAAAACTTACCACACTGAATCAACTCTGTCACAGCGGTTTACACCATCATGTGAAGAGATAATTAAAATTACTGTAAATTATGTACAGTACTATAAAATTACTGTACAGTATCATACTGTGGTGCTACTGATTAGTGCTTTTTTCTTAAGTGCGTTTGCCTTCTGAACTAGCAGACTTCAATCTACTGGTTCAAAAGGTAGTGGACAATTGTGAAAAATTATATTTCAAAATTCAGAAGTTTTGGATAACTGGCAATACAGCCTTTCCTCACTTAACGATGGAGTTCCATTCCTAAGACCACATCAGTAAACGAATTTATTGCCAAGCAAGGAGCATACTATAATGGTAGTGGGTTTGTGTCAACCATCTTTGATATTGTTTTAATGTCACCTTTGCCCCATTTACAATATTTTTAGTGTTTTTAAATGTTCATACAGTAGTGAACCGTATATTGTAATAGAATAAAGGAAATCAGCTCTAATATACATTACAGTGGACCCCCGGTATTCGATGGCATCGGTATTCCATAAATCCAGTATTCGATGCATTATATCGCAAAAAAATTTCCTCGGTATTCGATTGAAAACCCGGTATTCGATACGATTCGTACGAGACCTGTCCACATGTGGCCTGAACTGCCCCTTGTGTGCCAGTGTTTACAAGCCAGCCAGTGCGCGCGCATCTAAGGATGCATTCGGTACATTCCATATTATCCATATTATCACTATGTTTGGTGCTTGTTTCTGCAAAATAAGTCACCATGGGCCCCAAGAAAGCTTCTAGTGCCAACCCTGTGGTAAAAAGGGTGAGAATTAGTATGGAAATTAAGAAAGATTTTGAAGGGTTTGGGGCTAACCCTGAGAAGCCTATACCAGTTGTGGAATACATTGTGGGTTGAAGTGCAAACCTTTATGGATGAAAATCACCCTAACACAGCTATTACAATGACAATGTTGTGGCCCATTTTAGACAAATCGTAAAGGAACGGGAGGTACAGAGCTCTATGGACAGATTTGTTGTGCGACAGAGGTCCAGTGACTCTCAAGCTGGTCCTAGTGGCATTAAAAGAAGAAGGGAAGTAACCCTGGAAAAGGACTTGCTACCTCAAGTCCTATTGGAAGGGGATTCCCCTTCTAAACACTAACACCTCTCCCCTCCTTCCATCCCATCAATCATCACCAGATCTTCATTAAAGGTGTCAATTATTTTATTGTTATTGTAATTATTCTATTGCATTAAACTTAATATTTCGTGTAGTAAATTTTTTTTTTTTTTTCAGAATTTTGGGTGTCTTGCACGGATTAATTTGATTTTCATTATTTCTTATGAGGAAAATTGATTCGGTTTTCGATATTATCGGTATTCGATGAGCTCTCAGGAACGGATTAATATCGAATACCGGGGGTCCACTGTATTTAGGTATTCATACTAGTCAGAGCCTGTCGTAAGTCCCAGTCATCAGTAAATAAATACGTCACTAAGTGAGGAGAGGCTGTATTGTAAACAACCTTCTCTCTCTCATTAGTTTGTTAATTACTGCTTGCTGTACTTGACATCACAAAAGAGGCTAGACTCTGATGTCTTATTCTTCCCACAGAAAACTGCTGATGTGGTCACACAGGTGTTAAAGTAAATTAGTACTAATATTTCAGTTCTCACTTAAAAGAACTATGAGATGAGACCAACTTAAAATAGCATCAGTGCTAGCATATACACCATTCATTGGATTGAATATAATAAACAATATCATATATAGATTTCATTAATTCATGTGTTTATATTGTGTGAACATTATGATTGCAGAACTTGCAGCACCATCAACAGATACAAACATTCACACTTGATAGTATGGCAAGGTGCCACACTCAACAGGACAGAGCAGCAGCAGTGTGACCCTTATAGAATTAGTGCTGAAATTATATTATTGTACAGTTTCAAGAAATAAGATAGTACCAAAAGATGATGTTCATAAACATCAATGATTAAAATAAATCATAACAGCGCTAAACTCACAGGTCATACAGTTTATGAACATCAATGAACAAATCAGTTTTTTAACTTGCTTAAAGCTCTCGACATCATGATTAGGAAACAATCCAAACAGTGAGAAACAGTAGCCCTTCTGCATTGCTCAACTTAGAGTAAACTACAATTTTCATTCTTCAATGGCTCTGGGTAAGTTGACCACCACACTCCTCACCTTTACAGTACTTAATTTTAACATCCCTATCATTGGTAATAACTAAGTATTAGTATTATAATTAAAAAAGAAGTGGGCAATAAAAAAAAAATGCCAAACCTGTATGAGTCACAGCAGTGACTTAGTACCTTTACTTTAATATTTCATAGAGGAAACCTTTCAAGAGGATGGAATTTGTTTAGGTCTTCCCTTGGAACAAACCTGATTGCCTCCCATACCATCAGGTGCTGTATGACCCCTTATAGATTAGCTTAACCCTCAATACAACCATAAGCAGGGAGAAGTACTAAACCTGTAGGGATCATACGGCACCTAGCTGTGCTGTATGACCCTTGTAGGTTTAGTGCTTCTTTTTGATAATATAGCACCTAGGGAATAGAAGGCATTCATATTACATTCAAAAAGGGTAAGGGAAAGTCTAGTTCCTTTGATCAGAACCCCCCCTCCCCCTTTACTGGCATCAAGGCACCTACCCTGAGGGGTAGCTCTTTAGCGAGATGTTATGAAGCAGCTTGTTCTGCAAATTGTCAGCGTCTTCAATGTATTATTTCATAAAAGTTTTAAACTTTTTTGGGTCATGCAGTGCTAAATTAGTTTCAAATAAACATTAATTTGCTACAAATTATTACAACAATCAAACCTGTAAATTTGACCCACAGGGGTCAAATTTGCTACAACTCTTATATTACAAATTAAAAAATTAGACAAAAAGGTTAGTATAGGATAATTATTTATTTCTACACTTGTACATTATCTTAGAAATACAGTAACAGCATATTAACTGAAATGCAAGAAGTATTTTCAAAGTTCCTTCAGTTGCAAAGCTATATAATTGGTAAAAACTAAATATAAAGCTAGAGATATCAATAACACTATCTCTATTATTATTACATTCATGGGAAGAGGGGGAGTGCTAAACCCACAGGGGTCTTACAGCACATGGGGGGAAAATAAGATCAGGCTCAATCCAAGAAAGGGAGGTCAGGTTCAATTCCTTAGATCAAAAACCTCTCACCAGCATCAATAGCACTTTCTATACAAAAGCAAAATATGAGCTACAGCTATTTTTTTAAATATATCTTTATAACTAATATGTTCAACCTTACAAACTTCTGCATGAATGTTCATTGCACAAATTATTGTCTTCGGACATAATTGTACTGACGTATCTTTGCCTGTTAAAAAAAATATTGCTCCTAAATATACGAAATAAAAAAAAAGCAAGATAAGAATCCTGAATTGTGCTAAGAGCATTTAACTGTATTATCTCATGGTGTACTGCTGCCAGTCACAAGCTATATACACTGTACATGGAAATTTATCCATTCATGCAGAGTTCTTAAAAGTCTTTACAAAATTATGCCATAATTTTTTTTAAAGAATGTACTTTCATTAAGATTAGTCTACACAGAAAATAAGACACTGATTACAACCCCTTCCAATGAAAAAGAAATTATGAATTATGGTGAGATCTGTACATGAGGTGAATATTTGTCATGTATGCAGCAAGTTCCTAGTGTGAAAGCACTCTGGTTAGTATCTGTAACATCACATACATACATTTTCATTTTGACGATTCAGGTAAATCTTGATAAACGACTTGTATTCACATTACTGTAGTTATCTGTGGAATTACCAGCATCTTATCTACAAGTTATTATAAATTATTAATAATTTTCACAGTAGTAACTTTTTGTGATACTGTATAACACTTAAGAGTAATTGGCCTATCTTCACTGAACCTCCATTTTAGCTCTAACTTTGGCATGGATTTTTTCAAATTCACAAGACGGGGTCTTCTCATCCTCCGTACTCTTGTTTTCAGCTTTCTCCATCTGTTGGACAAATATGTATGTATACTGTAATTTTTTTTTTTTTTTTTTTTTTTTTTTTTACACATCAGTTTTACAGGCTAAGAACCATTATCCTACCTCAGCTCATTTAAAAAAAAAACCCAGCCCTATCTAGGGTGTATACTACCACTCCCAGGATGCAACCCACAACAGTCGGCTAATACCTGGTACAGTACTTAATACTAGGTGAACAAGGGCAACAGATGCAAGGAAATGTGCCCACTGTTTCCACCTGGCAAGGGATGGAACCACGGACACTCAGTGGTGCACTACCAACCAAGCCATGTACATTAATATTGTACCAAGTATCAGTGAAAATATAGCTGATACTGTTAAAAATATTAGTATCACATTTGCTTAAAAATGTCAACATTAACACACTACCTCATGATTGTAAGGGTTACTCACATACGCATGCATGCACACACACTATTGACAAGTGCCTTTGACAACCAGTAGCTAACACAACAGGCAAAGTAATGACATTATCTCATAGAAATTCAGTTATTTAATATTTAACCTTCCTGTGTTATTTAATACTCATTGTGTAATAAGCATTCCCTTATATACTGAAAAAAGCCATTTTAATCTTAAAAATGTAAAATATAGGAATAGTATCAGTATTGAAGAAATTTTGGTATCATCCCATCCCTAATAATTTTCTTTAGCTCACTAACCTGTTCAATCTTTTGAGCTCGTTCATCAAGAGCTTTCTGGAAAGGAGTCATGGATGCCTGTTTTTCTTTCTCTTGTTCCTTAAAAATCTTTTTGTCATTATGTTTCTCCATTGCCTTCTGTAGCTCAGTTTTTTGGTTCAGTATATTTACACCTCTGTAAACAGTAAAAAAAAAAAAATCAATACTCTAGAGCACAACTATTACACTAAACAATACAAAACAGTATAGTAAATATATTATTGGAGGGGGTAAAAAAAAGGTTTTGTGGGCGAGGGGCTTGGACTTACAGCAAGTGTGCATGAGCGTGTTATAAGTGAATGGAGACGAATGGTTTTTGGGACCTAATGAGCTGTTGGAGTGTGAGCAGGGTAATAGTATTTTTGCAGGTGCAGGGATTCAGGGAAACCGGTTAGCCGTACTCGAGTCCTGGAAATAGGAGGTACAATGCCCGCACTTTAAAGGATGGGTTTGGGATATTGGCAGTTTGGAGGGACATCTAAACTGACGTATCTGAGCGCCTCTGCAAAGACAGTGATTATGTATGAATGATGGTGAAAGTGTTTAATGATGAAAGTTTTTTCTTTTTGGGTCATCCTGCCTCGGTGGGAATGGCTGACATCTTAAAAAAAAAAAAAAAGTCATAACCAAGCACTAAACCCATAATGATCATACAGTGATGCAATACATAATAAAACATTTTAGTTGCAATGATTGAACTCACAGAGGTGATAAAGCTCTCTAACTTTATTAAACCTTCCAAAATAATTTTTTTTTAAATCTTCAACAGTACTGGAATTATTATTATAATCATAACTAAGCATAAACCCACAAGGGTCATACAGTGCTGTACTGTATTGGAAGAAATTCCTAAAACTATGACAGTATTTGACTGACTTATTTTCAGATCCTGCATTACACTATTTCCTTATCTTAGTTTATTTTTGGAAGCTTCCCTTGAAGGGCAGAAATGCTAAGGTCTTGGCTATTAAGGTCTGTATATAGATTGTCAATAAGGTTACATATGATTGGTTTCACCAGGATTGCAGTGACACTGACAGCTTCTGAGCCTATATTAAGAGAGAAAGCCAAGATGTTTCCTGCAGAAATGAAGTATGACTATTCTGAAGACTGGCCTCACAGATTCAAGAAGTCCCATGGTATTCATCACTTTAAAGCATCTAGCCAAACATCTGCAGATCATGATACCAATCAATAGGAGGAGGAATTAATTTTATCACAGAACATAACCAAGTAAAAACTCTACGCAAATAAAATGGGCAAAAATATGGAACTGTATCAGAAGATTCTAAAAATTCCCTATCTGGTTTAAAAATACCTGTGATGTACCTGTGACATCAGAGGTGATTTAAATTTACATAAATATAAATGTCAGACACAGTACAGCATGCAACATGCTCATTCATATTCCAATCAGTATTTACATTTGAGCATTTCTTGTCTCTACTATACTTCTATCCTGAAATAATTTAATAACTAAAACTGCCAATATTGTTTTTTTTTATGATTATTCATTCATGTTAATATTTATGTGAAGGTATTGTTAAAGAGTTCTGTTACTTAAAATACATATTATCTTTAATAATCTATTATTTTTTCAACACACCGACCATATCCCACTGAGGCAGGGTGGCCCAAAAAGAAAAATGCAAGTTTATCTTTTTAAATTTAATAACATATACAGAAAGGGTTACTTGCTCCTTAATAATCTATTATCTTAACATAATTACAGTATGTTAAACTTAGCATTCCAATGTTCTAACTATTCACAGTTAAGTGGTTAAAAGTTCTAATTTGCTCAAAATGCTTTGCATAATTCTGAACTTTTTCAGGTAAGAAACAACAGACCAATCTTTGTAATACTCCTTTCTGGAAACTAAATTTATTAAATTAGCATTGTACTAATTATTATTTGATGCTGCATACATCATCCATGAAGAGTTTATATATACAGTGGTCCCTCGAGTTATTATGGGCTGGAGTTACAATTTACCCTCATAGAGGAATTTTGTTTTGAGTTGAGAATAAAAATTGGCAATACAATGGAACCTCGGCTTACAAATTTAATCCATTCCATGACCTCGTTCGTAACCTGATTTATTCGTATGCCGAGTCAATTTTCCTAATTTAAATTGATTGAAATGGCATTAATCCGTTCCAGCGAAATTCCTGCTCTTAGGAGGCACAACAAAATACTTCAGTATGATGCTAATATTAACTCTACGGCTTATTTATATATCACAATTCATCCAATTTCACCATCACTGAAGGAATGCACAACAGGTGCATTATTGTCAGTGTTCAGCATTTCTTCGATGTCAGCTTCCTGTAACTACATTAGCACACAGTCAAGATGAGTAAATAGAACTGTCAATGCTTACAGCTTGGGTATGTTTATTCTGTTAGTGGGTTGGATCTGTGAAGGACCTGCCTAGTATGGGCCAAAAGGCCTACTGCAGTGTTCCTCCTTTCTAATGGTATAATGTACCCACGACACCAATCATACCCATCCCTTCTCACTCATATTTGTCTAATCTCTTTTTAAAGCTACCCAAGGTTCTAAAACTTTGGGTAGTGTCAAATTTAGGTTGGATAAATACACAGGTGTGAAGGGTTGAATTTGAGTGGGACTTGCATGCAAGTAAATAACAGGTCTGCTGCAGTGTTCCTCCTTTCTTATGTTCTTATGTTGACGAGTGGAACAATCTGCGTAGTATGGTTACTGAGGCTGAAACCTTGGGTAGTTTCAAATTTAGATAAAGGTAGGGAAGTTTTCATTGCATTTATGGATTTAGAAAAGGCATATGATAGAGTGGATAGGGGAGCAATGTGGCAGATGTTGCAAGTATATAGAATAGGTGGTAAGTTACTAAATGCTGTAAAGAGTTTTTATGAGGATAGTGAGGCTCAGGTTAGGGTGTGTAGAAGAGAGGGAGAATACTTCCCGGTGAAAGTAGGTCTTAGACAGGGATGTGTAATGTCACCATGGTTGTTAGGTAAGACACATATGCAACAGTTAGGTATCTTTATATCGAAACGTTTCGCCTACACAATAGGCTTCTTCAGTCGAGTACAGAAAAGTTGATAGAAGCAGAAGAGACTTGAAGACAATGTAATCAGTCCATCACCCTTAAAGTTTTGAGGTGGTCAGTCCCTCAGTCTGGAGAAGAGCATTGTTCCAAAGTTTGAAACAATATGAAGTTGAAATGACAGGATGGAGCCTTATATAGCGCCAGGAGGTGAGACGTAGGTCACTAGTAGAACGCAGATGTTGGGAGGTCAGGTCCCTCTCAAATCCAGCCGTTCTCACTAGTAGAGGTAGTCGAAGTTGATTTCAGGTCTGAGGGACTGACCACCTCAAAACTTTAAGGGTGATGGACTGATTACATTGTCTTCAAGTCTCTTCTGCTTCTATCAACTTTTCTGTACTCGACTGAAGAAGCCTACTGTATAGGCGAAACATTTCGATATAAAGATACCTAACTGTTGCATATGTGTCTTACCTAACAATCTGTCGGTATTTTATACCATTTTAATGTTCAATCTGTCAGACATTGCAACACAAGGGTATTACAGACCTGAAATCAACTTCGACTACCTCTACTAGTGAGAACGGCTGGATTTGAGAGGGACCTGACCTCCCAACATCTGCATTCTACTAGTGACCTACGTCTCACCTCCTGGCGCTATATAAGGCTCCATCCTGTCATTTCAACTTCATATTGTTTCAAACTTTGGAACAATGCTCTTCTCCAGACTGAGGGACTGACCACCTCAAAACTTTAAGGGTGATGGACTGATTACACTGTCTTCAAGTCTCTTCTGCTTCTATCAACTTTTCTGTACTCGACTGAAGAAGCCTACTGTGTAGGCGAAACGTTTCGATATAAAGATACCTAACTGTTGCATATGTGTCTTACCTAACAATCTGTCGGTATTTTATACCATTTTAATCGTCACCATGGTTGTTTAATATATTTATAGATTGGGGTTGTAAAAGAAGTAAATGCTAGGGTGTTTGGGAGAGGGGTGGGATTAAATTATGGGGAATCAAATTCAAAATGGGAATAGACACAGTTACTTTTTGCTGATGATACTGTGCTTATGGGAGATTCTAAAGAAAAATTGCAAAGGTTAGTGGATGAGTTTGGGAATGTGTGTAAAGGTAGAAAGTTGAAAGTGAACATAGAAAAGAGGAAGGTGATGAGGGTATCAAATGATTTAGATGAAGAAAAATTGGATATCAAATTGGGGAGGAGGAGTATGGAAGAAGTGAATGTTTTCAGATACTTGGGAGTTGACATGTCGGCGGATGGATTTATGAAGGATGAAGTTAATCATAGAATTAATGAGGGAAAAAAGGTGAGTGGTGCGTTGAGGTATATGTGGAGTCAAAAAAGCGTTATCTATGGAGGCAAAGAAGGGAATGTATGAAAGTATAGTAGTACCAACACTCTTATATGGATGTGAAGCTTGGGTGGTAAATGGAACAGTGAGGAGATGATTGGAGGCAGTGGAGATGTCCTGTCTAAGGGCAATGTGTGGTGTAAATATTATGCAGAAAATTCGGAGTGTGGAAATTAGGAAAAGGTGTGGAGTTAATAAAAGCATGTCAGAGGGGAGAAGAGGGGTTGTTGAGGTGGTTTGGTCATTTAGAGAGAATGGATCAAAGTAGAATGACATGGAAAGCATATAAATCTATAGGGGAAGGAAGGAGGGGTAGGGGTCGTCCTCAAAAGGGTTGGAGAGAGGGGGTAAAGGAGGTTTTGTGGGCGAGGGGCTTGGACTTCCAGCAAGCGTGCGTGAGCGTGTTAGATAGGAGTGAATGGAGACGAATGGTACTTGGAACCTGACGATCTGTTGGAGTGTGAGCAGGGTAATATTTAGTGAAGGGATTCAGGGAAACCGGTTATTTTCATACAGTCGGACTTGAGTCCTGGAAATGGGAAGTACAATGCCTGCACTTTAAAGGAGGGGTTTGGGATATTGGCAGTTTGGAGGGATATGTTGTGTATCTTTATATGTATATGCTTCTAAACTGTTGTATTCTGAGCACCTCTGCAAAAACAGTGATAATTTGTGAGTGTGGTGAAAGTGTTGAATGATGAAAGTATTTTCTTTTTGGGGATTTTCTTTCTTTTTTTGGGGTCACCCTGCCTCGGTGGGAGACGGCCGACTTGTTGAGAAAAAAAAAAAAAAAAAACATACATGGGGTTGTAAAATAAGTAAATGCTAGGGTGTTTGGGAGAGGGGTGGGATTAAACTATTGGGAATCAAATACAAAATGGGAATTTACACACTTTTTGCTGATGATACTGTGCTTATGGGAGATTCTAAAGAAAAATTGCAAAGGTTAGTGGATGAGTTTGGGAGTGTGTGTAAAGGTAGAAAGTTGAAAGTGAACATAGAAAAGAGTAAGGTGATGAGGGTATCAAATGATTTAGATAAAGAAAAATTGGATATCAAATTGGGGAGGAGTATGGAAGAAGTGAAAGTTTTCAGATATTTGGGAGTTGATGTGTCAACAGATGGATTTATGAAGGATGAAGTTAATCATAGAATTGATAAGGAAAAAAGGCGAGTGGTATGTTGAAGTAGATGTGGAGACAAAAAACGTTATCTATGGAGGCAATGAAGGGAATGTATGAAAGTATAGTAGTACCAATACTCTTTTATGGGTGTAATGGCTGCAGTGAGGCAGCATTTGGAGGCAGTGGAGATGTCCTGTCTAAGGGCAATGTGTGGTGTTAATATTATGCAGAAAATTCGGAGTGTGGAAATTAGGAGAAGGTGTGGAGTTAATAAAAGTATTAGTCAGAGGGCTGAAGAGGGGTTGTTGAGGTGGTTTGGTCATTTAGAGAGAATGGATCAAAGTAGAATGACATGGAGAGCGTATAAATCTGTAGGGGAAAGAAGGTGGGGTAGGGGTCGTCCTTGAAAAGGTTGGAGGGAGGGGGTATAGGAGGTTTTGTGGGCGAGGGGCTTGGACTTTCAGCAAGTGAATGGAGTGAATGGAGATGAATGGTATTTGGGACCTGACGATCTGTTGGAGTGTGAGCAGGGTAATATTTAGTGAAGGGATTCAGGGAAACTGGTTATTTTTATACTACAGCCAGACTTGAGTCCTGGAAATGGGAAGCACAATGCCTGCACTTTAAAGGAGGGGTTTGGGATATTGGCAGTTTGGAGGGATATGTTGTGTATCTTTATATGTATATGCTTCTAAACTGTTGTATTCTGAGCACCTCTGCAAAAAGTGATTATGTGCGAGTGAGGTGAAAGTGTTGAATGATGATGAAAGTATTTTCTTTATGGGAATTTTCTTTCTTTTTGGGTCACCCTGCCTCGGTGGGAGATGGCTGACTTGTTTAAAAAAAAAAAAAAAAAGTTACATTAGTGAAGGGTTGGATGTGAGCGGGACCTGCACATGGGTAAATAGAATTATCAAAGCTTGTTGCTTGGGTAGCATTGAAAATTGAATTGGGCAAATATTGTTAGTGGGATGGATTATGAAGGACTTGCCTAGTATGGACCAACAGGCCTGCTGCAGTGTATTATTATTAGTACGTATTAATAATAATTATTATTATTATTATATTATTAATTTACGGAAGTGGAGCACAGATCCAATTCTCTTTGTCAAGAACCTCACCCAGGAACCTCTCTTGAGGAGGAAGTTTGCATCCTGAAATTTCGTTCGTATCCAGAAGCAAAAAATCGATCAAATGACTGTTCGTATCCTGAAAAATTCGCATGGTGGGGCATTCGTAAGCCAAGGTTCCACTGTATATGCATATGATGGTACAACTGTTGTGGGTTGCACCATGGGTAACAAGATTAATCTAAGTTGCCCAAAATGCTCTGCATAATCAGAGGCTTTCTATATACAGTAGTATGCCAATGATGTCAGCTAGGGCTATAATAGTTTTGTCACACTTATAGAAATAAAGATTATTATTATGGTCGGCGTGTGTGTGTGGGCCTCAGGAAACCAGCGATGTGGGGGTTTAACCCTTAAACTGTCCAAACGTAGATCTACGTTTGCACGCGTAGCACTCTGACCTTGATTTTCTCATAAGAAACAATGTAAAAAAAACGCAGATCTACGTTCAGAGCGCTACACAAGCAAACGTAGATCTACGTTTGGACAGTTTAAGGGTTAATATGTCTACGGTAGCATCTTGGTCAATAGCAATTTCTACTACAGTATTTGTCTATTCTTCAGTTTGAAGCTATCACAGAACTGGATTATTTACCCTTCATAATTGGATTTGTGTTAAAAATGCACCATATTTTTTGTTACGATGTCATCATGCCCCCTAAAATGCTCGGTAAAAAGGCAATTTTTCTGATGATCAAGCAAGAAATTAGTGCATTGGTGTGTGAATATCACTTCTCACAATCGACCATTTCTGCTATTATCAAGCAAATAAGAAATAATAAAGAATATTAAAGTGGCTGACAAATCTAAGCTAGTGAAAAAAAAAAAGGCAGAGAAATTATCATAGAGATGGAAAAACTGTTGTTTTTACAGATAAGAGAGAAGCAGGTGAAGGGAGATACAGTGCCTGTAAGTTACATCAGTAAATGTGCATGTCCAAGGTACAGTAAAAATTGTACTTCCAGGGTCTTAAAATGAATTACACCATAAAACCATGTAATCTGGGGCTCGAGTTGATAATTGTGAGGTATAATACGTCTTCTGGAACGGATTAATATCATAACTTAGGGGACCACTGTATTTTTAAAATTAATTTTGGAAATGGTAATTCCTGATCCCAATGCCTTGGGATACATGGTGATGGACTATAGCCTAGTAGTTTCATAAATTTCATACTTTACCTCTTTTGGTTGAACATCAGTTCTCTGTGGAGATTCTTTTTGTCAGATGACTCAAGGTATGGGTTGACTAGCTTCTTGGGCATAATGAGGCCTCGTTCATCTATTCGTCCCTGGCTAGACTGTAGTTTGTCTTGTTCTTTGTTGTTGCTGTTGATACTGAAAAGGATAATTATTATTCACTTTCAACTTTATCATTTTCCAACATGGCTGGTGGACCAAAAATTACATCCGTCACACTCCTTTCTGACTATGAAATATCAGACCAATGAGATATGACCAGCAAAGTTTTATTCCCTTTAAAGCATTAATAAGAAATGAAACTTCAGTGTAACCACTGATAGTACAAAAATGAACTTCAGCTTTACTTGAGTCTCAAGTGGTTATATAGCACTGTAATAAAATATGAAAAACACGTATCATGTAAGGAAGACAAAATATGTAATTATGTTACGATGGATAAATGTCGAGTATAGTACACAAGTCTGAGATTCAAGAGATTGACAAGATGTGCAATGATAGCTCAGCAATATTGAAAAATTTACGACGGAACATTCAGGAAATGTACAGTTTCGTATTCAAGAACAGAAAGAAAGAATGCACAATTAAAAAACGGCCACGTATTCAATCCAAAAATGTAGCAGGTATATTATATAAATAATTATAAAAAATGGCAATGAACAGGACCAAGTGGAAACCATTTATTAGGACAATGAATGATATTATCTGTGAAAATTCACACAAGTACCGAACTTTACACTTAATGTCTAAGTCTTCTTTAATTCTTATTTTTAACAAGTTACTTATTGAGTTGTATTATACAAATCTGTAGTGGAGGGAAGGCTGGGTAGGGGTCAGCCTAGGAAAGGTTGGAGGAAGGGGGGTAAAGGAGGTTTTGTGTGCAAGGGGCTTGGACTTCCAGTAAGCGTGCATGAGCATGTTAGACAGGAGCAAATGGAGACAAATGGTTTTTAGGACTTGACGTGTTGTTGGAGTGTAAACAGGGTAACATTTATGAAGGGATTCACAGAAACTGGCAGGGCAGTTTCTGTGAAGGAGGGCCAGAGTGCTGGCCCTCCTTCAGAGTACCAGCACTCTGAAGGAGAGGTGTTAGTGTTGCAGTTTTATAACTGTAGTGTAAGCATGCCTCTGGCAAGACAGTGATGGAGTGAATGATGATGAAAGTTTTTCTTTTTCAGGTCACCCTGCTTTGGTGGGAAATCGGCCAATGTGTTAATACATGGGAAAGCGCTAAACCCGTAGGATTATACAGTGCATGGGAGGGGGGAAGATGGAAGGTACTCAGGCTCAATTCAAGGAACTGGAGCACAGATCCAATTCCTTAGATCAAGAGCCCCTCACCAGCGTCATGGGGCAAATAAGCCCGATTGAATGAATGAAGAAATAAGTCTGTGAACAAATGAACCTGTAATGTTGTAAATGAACAAACCTATGAATGAAGACGCAAAACCAACTTCCCTCCCCTCTATTCTTTAATCAAACAATTCAGACCCCCTTTTTTCTAAGTTTGCTCATTCAGCATTGCCACATCACCTTTAATTCGTACTCTGCTTCAGATGTGACTAATTGTGCTAGCTTTTCAAATTCTTCTAATTTCCAAATTGTTTTAATGATACAGCGCCCAATTTCCTTTCATTCATAACAGGTGTTTACAAATTTCCTTTCATTCATAACAGGTGTTTACAATCAGTGTTTTCCACAATACATTCAATATTAAAATAACCTAAATATATCCTTCAAGGATCTATTCACCTCATTATTTTTTTGCTTGGCTCAGTGTATATGGGGAGCAACAACCCACTGCACAACATTTTAGCAACTTTCCAGCAACATACAAATAACGTGGGACCCAGGACTGACCCCGTGAATGATCGCTGTTACTTTTCATCCTGATTCCCTCAAGGGAGGTTCCAGGGAATTGAATCCCTTCCTTGGAGTGAACCTGATTGCATCGCATTCCACCAGAGGCTGTATGACCCCTAGGGGTTTATTGCTCCCATCTGAATGTAATAATATTCATCATCCAGGCATTAAGAATATGTATACCGTTTACAAAGAGGCAAAGACAGCAAAGTCTCACCAAGTCTTGTAGTTAACGAGCTTCTATAAAACTGACTAGTAACAATTCCAACAAACAAATGTTCCCAACTAACCTACAAATGAGTGACAGTGCTCATGGAGGAACGAAAACTTATAGTTTTCATTTGTAATTTGTGGGTCGTGAATTGTTCAAGCCATGGTACTGTGATTTTATTTTACGCTATATTTTCATGGTACATTAAAGAATATACCTACATACGATGCACATAACTCACTATTCTTTAAAATAAAGGAAGATTTTAAGAAAGAGAACTTACCAGTTGACTTGATTGTTCCTGGTGACTATTGAGGTGATGGAGGGTTTAGTGGTTTCTCTCTCGTCGTCACTATAGTCTGGCTCAGGGATCATGGCTCCGTACACCACTTCTGAAACGCATCATCAACACTTAAAGTCACATCTCTAAACTAAGTTTCAAGATACTGAAATACTAACACTCTTTGCGCTCTGACCAACTTCCATGCATCAGTTGCAAGTTAGTATTATTAACATTAATATTTGTAAGGTAAGAGTTGTCTTAAAAAGCTTTAGGTAATGCGGTACATCATTCAATAAGGTAGCCATTACCACTTTCTATAGTGTGACTGGGTAGGAAATAGAGGGTATGAGGGCGATCACCCCTCCCTCTCCTTGAAAATATTTTCACATTAAAAGAAAAACATACCAGCACAGAGAGCGCAAACTATGATACAAACACGATAAATTGCCAAGGCATAAAATAAACTTATAAAAAATACTTTTAAATAACACCCACTAATCAAAACATTAAACAAAATTATAATTACCTCCCTTGCTTTCTTTGAGATCCGCCCCACCCCCCGAGTAACAGGTATCACTATTGTAATCTTATTACATAACGTAACAATATACACAAGTATAAATACTAGGCATATCAATGCCGCCAAATTGTGGGATAAAGGCACGTATGCAACACTTCCGACAATATATTAGGAGACTTTTTGCCCATTGTGGTGAAAAATCTCATAATATAATGTCGCATGTGTTATTCTACAGCAATATGCTTACTTGCACAAATCTCAATAAATATACAAAAACCATTTGTTCGTATATCCTAAAAACTAATAAAATTACCATGCAGAGAGCTAAGATTAAAGAAAGTTTATCAATCCAAATTTATAAGCTCGACTTGTACAGATAATTGTACATTGGGCAGTGTTAAGAGAACAGCAAGAAAAAAAAAACATACAGTAAAGTTTTACCTATTAGGCACGACATTTTATATATATATATATATATATATATATATATATATATATATATATATATATATATATATTATATATATATATATATATATATATTATATATAATATATATTATTATATATATATATTTTTTTTTTTCAACAAACCGGCCGTATCCCACCAAGGCAGGGTGGCCCAAAAAGAAAAACTAAAGTTTTTTCTTTTTAATTTTAGTAATCTGTACAGAAGGGGTTACTAGCCCCTTGCTCCCGGCATTTTAGTCGCCTCTTACAACACGCATGGCTTACGGAGGAAGAATTCTGCTCCACTTCCCCATGGAGATATATATATATATATATATATATATATATAAAATATATATATATATAATATATATATTACAATAGGGTACAACTGTGCCCATGGGTAATATATTGTACATTAGAAGTGGCCCAGGTTTGCACTATGCACACCACTCCATGTAACCGACTACAGCACACACTTCCTGGAAGCCAAAGTACAATTAAGGAACACATGCCAAATTAGTCTAAAACAGCTGAAATATGCTGCAGTTTTACATTCAAAACAAGTCCGAATGCGCGAAACAATTGCCAAAATAGGTAAACAAAACACTGCATCCTACCAAAGAACCTTATAACAAAACAGCTGCAAATTCAGACAAAAATCAAAGATTATAATAGTGCAACATAAGTAAATGCAATAACCGACACTCAATAACAGCTCTTGTCTATGGGGACAAAATTTTCCAAGAAGTTACTTGGAACACAATATAAAAAGAAGTGTAATAACAAAAAGGCGGCGGCCTCCCTTTCCCACGTCATAGGACACTGCTCATTACCTAGTAAAAATTTAGAAGTTCGATAAGCAATGTGAATAGGGAACGGATTACTGATAAGAAATAAAGTAGAAAATTCTGCAAATGGTAAACGAGAAAATATTAAATATGAAGGGACAAATGTCAAGGAAGAAAAAGGGAAGACGAAAAAAAAAAAACTTTGTTAGAAGGCAAAAAAGGAAAATATCTATGTTAATGGGACAAGTGTTAAGAAGAAAGGGTTGACAAAGATTTAAGTTTATGAGAAACTACATAAAGGAGAAAAACTATAATTATTATTTAATAAGAAAGCGCTAAACACATAAGGGTCATACATTATTGTATTCTATTTAAGCGCTAAACCCGTAAAGGTCATGCAGCGCTGCAAAAATGTTTTGGTATAGGTTCCAACCTATGAAACCACATAGCAGCTGTGTCTGGACTCGGCTGGGGTGCCGGAAACAGACAAGTATGCAAAGCCAGTTAGGTTAATTTGGACACGTTTTGCTAAATTAGTGATAAAAGCCCTCGGTGGACGAAACGTTTCAAAAGTTATCTAGTGCTGCATGCGTGTCTTATAAGTTTGATTGTTAAAGTAACGAATAATAAAAGTAAGTTTAGAATTAATGTGGATCTGGAATTCAACGATGAGGCTGCTTAAGATAAAGGAAACAGTCAACTTTAGTGAATAGATGGGGTAGAGTGAATCAAAAGGGGAAAAAGGGTACACGAGAACTGATTGACAGGTCATATTATTCCATTGTAAGTCCGTTCCCTTATATTTTACAGGCTAAAAAAAAAAAAAAACATGCACTGAATAGCATTCTCAAAAAAAAAAAAAAAAAAAAAAAAAATATCTGCGAGTGAACATTATATTTCAGATCTATGAGATATCTAAAAAAATATATATAATTTCGCAATAAACTACAATAGCTGAGGAATTGTCTAAACAAAATAATATCTTAGGTAAGAGCTATGGCAGGGTTAAGGTTTAAGAATAAAGCATCCTTAGGTGAGAGTTGAGAACACGACAAATATCTTTCATTACGGAAGTAGTCTTAGATACAAATATGCATGGAAATTAAGCCATAACATGTTAAGAGTAGTGTGTCGTGTGCTCACACTACAAGGTAGACTGAGAAGGGATTTCTATTAGAACCACCCGGTTTATACAGAGCTATACATTTATTTTCGATATTAAAGTATTCTTGAGGTTAGTGTTCATATGAATTACAGCCTTAATGGCTCAGTGTAGTCAGTAGACTTTAAATTTAGCTTAACGGGATCAGCTAGGGAGTGAGGGGAGAGGTTAAGTGCTGATAATGGTGTGTTATATGAGCAGCTATACTATGCAGGGGAGGATGGGGAATGACGCTGGAGAGTGATAGGCAGAGCTGAGTTAACTATAGTGAGGTTAGAGTGTTACCTCTAGCCTGGTGCTCGAAGAAGGCCAGCTTTTCCTTGATACTGGGTATCTCTTCCACCGGAGCACGTATATACTTCTTCAGTGGCATTTTTATAATTACACTCAAATAAAAAAAAAATATAAACTTTCTTGCTTCCTTGATTGTTCCTTAACACCAAAACACTATGCCACTATCACCAAATTAGTTCTTGGTTACAGATATATTTAAAAAAAGAAAACAGGATTAAAAGTCTTGCAGGAAGTTGAAGACTGATCTGGAGGTGTTCAGGTTTCTTTCTGCTCTCATTCCAGCCTCCTCACCACTGAAATAAATAAAGGTGGCAGTGTTGAGTCTGCCAGGAAGATGGCACAGGTGTCTATCATAAAACGTGTAGCGAATTACTCACGGGTGTCCCGCCATGCAGACATCACTAAAGAACCACCACCAAATAATTGAAAGAGAACTACAAAACACTCAGGAGATTAAAACTTCACGAAGCCTAAACTCTAAAGCAATTCACAGGCATGTACATTTACTATATCCATTCACGATCCCTGCTCTCTCCGGATCCAACCTCAATTCTTCCTATTCCTAAGGCGCTCCTCTCCTAAATATAATAATGTCCATTCACGAGATTTATATTACACGTCTGCTTTTTATGCAATGTGCAATCAATCTGCTTACGGAGCAACCATCACTTTGAATATTAATTAAGTCGTGAAAATTCATCGCTATAATAACTTAATGAAAATCAGTTTGACATCACGAAATTCATATATACATATGCGTAGGGATAACCACGAGGAAATGGGGGCAAATTGAATTTGTATGATCAGTGACACAGCTTCAGCAGCAGCTGGCAAGATGAAACTCCCATGAGCTCAACCTTATCTACATATCCATCCCTTTACCTCTGCCCTGCCTCTGTGCTCTTCCCCCTCCACTTAAAATCCCTTTACCTCTGCCCTGCCTCTGTGCTCTTCCCCCTCCACTTGACATCCCTTTACCTCTGCCCGGCACCTCTGCTCTTCCTTCTTCCTGATCTTCATTAACACATTCTCAGATTCACAGAGCATAGTCGCCACTTATCGATGAGAAAAACTCAACGGAAGCTTTTTATTATTAAATTGTAAAAGAGAATTAAAATTGCGCGCTTATTAAATAAACATCAATGCCGACATTATTGGTTTAAAGAGACCAAAATGGTAATCCCATGTAAATAGCTCAAAATGCGGATGTTTCATACAACTTAAAGATGAAACCAAAAAATACTCCGGGAATAAGGTACCCATTCACTAGCACCCTGTAAGCTCTCCATTTTTTTTTAACAATTGGTAAAAGTATGGCATTGCTGACAAACTGTGGAATCAAGTCGAATAAATGTAAGTGTAACATTTGGGAAATTTATTATACAACTGTTGCCCACAGTTTATTGTACTGAGCTAGTAGATTAGGTCTGATCATGTCAAATGCTGGAGCATCCTAAATTGTAAATGAAACATTACAGAATTATGCATTTTATATGTTCAAGAGACAGAAGGAAAAGGACAGCAATCCTGCCTGAATGCAAAACGTTTAATAGGGTTCAGTTTCACAATAATATGACGATATCGTAGCACCTCTTGGATTTAACAAGTGTTTTCAAACATTTAGTCAACGCGTGGAATAACAATGTTCCATTTTACTTCATTTATGTTTTTCTTCGTACGATCGTTCCAAGTGGCTTATTTGGTCAGCAAGAATACGAGTTAAGACCTGTTCGTTATACCCATGAGCGGTGCGATCAATGATACGCAGCCAGACACCCCCCCCTACCAATTGGCGTGGGTCTTACCCATCATCTGAACCTTCCTTTTAACCACTCAGTCACGCACCACTACCTGGACTATCCCCACCTCTCCCCCTCCACATCTCTGTTTGCACTACACGCTCTTCCTGAGAGATGGAAATTCTCAAGTGATAATAACTCCACCTATGCTGCAAGGAAACCTCCGATGAGCCCGTATCTGATAATTATACCCTTGCTAGAATGCTTGACGATACCGGTCTCCCAGCTCAGGTTGTCAGTTTCAACACCTTGTATGAGCCCTATCCTGTATGATGAAATATGGCAGGGAAACTGATAGTTCTTATTCCCACTGTGTGATTAACATATATAATAGGGGTGGTAGCACACAATTTAGTTTAAAAAAGAAAATGCACTACACACTTTATTATAACTACACTCGATGGGAGGTTAACACTCATCTCTAATATAATTATCTTCTCATGGGGTTAATAGAAATTAGGTGATAAGACAGACTACACTGACACGAAAATATCTGAAACTTGACTAAGGTTTAGCATCAAACTACAACTAAATTCCATACAATTCCAGAATATGATTTTTTTTTTTAAAGTATAGGCTCAGTAGGATTACATTCAAAGTCAAGGCAACGTACACGAAAATTGCAAATGTAGCCACTAGGATATTTTTGCAAAAAGTATTACTCTCTCATGTACCGGGAATAGTGGTTAGTCATGGAATTATTGCCACATTCTGCAATAAAGAATTAAATTTTACTAGCGTCAACACTGATAATGTATTGATTAAAGGTGTAACACCGATGAATAGACGATTAGTGAAATAAAGCCTTAATTAGTATAATGTTTCACCTATAAGTGAACTTTGTGAAGTTCATGCACTTATTAAACAACGCACTCTTTGGTGAAACGCACCACTGCATTGTCTTTTTAACAATGATGATAATGTTTTCAGAGCATATATAATTGTGGAAGAGAGGCAGTGAGTTGGAGAGTGAATCGCTCGTAAAAGAGAGGCGTATATAGGCAAATCAAAAGAGGAGAGGGGCAATTAAGAAATCGATATATTCAGTTAAAGAGAGAAATAAAAAAGGGAATTAGAAAAGCAAAAAGAGATTATGAGGTTAAAGTTGCAAGAGAATCGAAGACTAACCCAAAAGGATTCTTTCAGGTATACAGAAGTAAGTGCAAGAAAGGTATAAAATACCGACAATATGAAAGTTAAGACACATGTGCATCATCTGGATATCTTTATTGTAGTAGACGTTTCGCCATCCAGTGGCTTTATCAATACAGATTCTAGGACATAATAGGAAGACAGTAGAACTATATACAAAAGATGAGGTAATCAGTCCCTCGGCCTTGGAGTTAGTGTTCACAGCATCGTGGTGGAGGAGAGTCTGGAGCAAAGGCAAGAAGACTGGCGCTTTTTATAGGCGTCAGTGAATGGGACGGGCAGCAGACGAGGGCAGTCACTGGTAGGCGGGATTCCCCAGTGGAAGTAGGTCCTTCCCAAAGAGATGGGTTAGTTGCAGCAGCCGTGAAGAAGGTCTTGTAGATGTCCTCTGAACCAAGATTCCATGATGTTGCAGTGTCTGACAAGTTGTGCAAGAAAGGTATAAAATACCGACAATATGAAAGTTAAGACACATGTGCATCATCTGGATATCTTTATTGTAGTAGACGTTTCGCCATCCAGTGGCTTTATCAATACAGATTCTAGGACATAATAGGAAGACAGTAGAACTATATACAAAAGATGAGGTAATCAGTCCCTCGGCCTTGGAGTTAGTGTTCACAGCATCGTGGTGGAGGAGAGTCTGGAGCAAAGGCAAGAAGACTGGCGCTTTTTATAGGCGTCAGTGAATGGGACGGGCAGCAGACGAGGGCAGTCACTGGTAGGCGGGATTCCCCAGTGGAAGTAGGTCCTTCCCAAAGAGATGGGTTAGTTGCAGCAGCCGTGAAGAAGGTCTTGTAGATGTCCTCTGAACCAAGATTCCATGATGTTGCAGTGTCTGACAAGTTGTGCAAGAAAGGTATAAAATACCGACAATATGAAAGTTAAGACACATGTGCATCATCTGGATATCTTTATTGTAGTAGACGTTTCGCCATCCAGTGGCTTTATCAATACAGATTCTAGGACATAATAGGAAGACAGTAGAACTATATACAAAAGATGAGGTAATCAGTCCCTCGGCCTTGGAGTTAGTGTTCACAGCATCGTGGTGGAGGAGAGTCTGGAGCAAAGGCAAGAAGACTGGCGCTTTTTATAGGCGTCAGTGAATGGGACGGGCAGCAGACGAGGGCAGTCACTGGTAGGCGGGATTCCCCAGTGGAAGTAGGTCCTTCCCAAAGAGATGGGTTAGTTGCAGCAGCCGTGAAGAAGGTCTTGTAGATGTCCTCTGAACCAAGATTCCATGATGTTGCAGTGTCTGACAAGTTGTGCAAGAAAGGTATAAAATACCGACAATATGAAAGTTAAGACACATGTGCATCATCTGGATATCTTTATTGTAGTAGACGTTTCGCCATCCAGTGGCTTTATCAATACAGATTCTAGGACATAATAGGAAGACAGTAGAACTATATACAAAAGATGAGGTAATCAGTCCCTCGGCCTTGGAGTTAGTGTTCACAGCATCGTGGTGGAGGAGAGTCTGGAGCAAAGGCAAGAAGACTGGCGCTTTTTATAGGCGTCAGTGAATGGGACGGGCAGCAGACGAGGGCAGTCACTGGTAGGCGGGATTCCCCAGTGGAAGTAGGTCCTTCCCAAAGAGATGGGTTAGTTGCAGCAGCCGTGAAGAAGGTCTTGTAGATGTCCTCTGAACCAAGATTCTTCACGGCTGCTGCAACTAACCCATCTCTTTGGGAAGGACCTACTTCCACTGGGGAATCCCGCCTACCAGTGACTGCCCTCGTCTGCTGCCCGTCCCATTCACTGACGCCTATAAAAAGCGCCAGTCTTCTTGCCTTTGCTCCAGACTCTCCTCCACCACGATGCTGTGAACACTAACTCCAAGGCCGAGGGACTGATTACCTCATCTTTTGTATATAGTTCTACTGTCTTCCTATTATGTCCTAGAATCTGTATTGATAAAGCCACTGGATGGCGAAACGTCTACTACAATAAAGATATCCAGATGATGCACATGTGTCTTAACTTTCATATTGTCGGTATTTTATACCTTTCTTGCACAACTTGTCAGACACTGCAACATCATGGAATCTTGGTTCAGAGGACATCTACAAGACCTTCTTCACGGCTGCTGCAACTAACCCATCTCTTTGGGAAGGACCTACTTCCACTGGGGAATCCCGCCTACCAGTGACTGCCCTCGTCTGCTGCCCGTCCCATTCACTGACGCCTATAAAAAGCGCCAGTCTTCTTGCTTTGCTCCAGACTCTCCTCCACCACGATGCTGTGAACACTAACTCCAAGGCCGAGGGACTGATTACCTCATCTTTTGTATATAGTTCTACTGTCTTCCTATTATGTCCTAGAATCTGTATTGATAA